ACAGATTGCCGGTCCTTCTCCTTCGAACATCCTGCTATGGAACCGAGATTTCGGTGTCTCCCTGGCGGTCGTACCAAACGCTGCCATATTGGGTGTTCAAGGAAATGAGGCGTAAAAATGTTTTCGACGTTTAAACAGAAGTAGCTTGTCAGGCTCTTATGTGAGAGCTGGGTAGACTCCCTGTGGGTATCCAGGCTATTCCAGGGTGGAAGGTGCTTGATTTTGGATCTACCTACCGGATAAGTTCAAGTCTCTCAAATACGAGCTTTTGGCTGAGCTGATGTGCAGGATATTCACCGCTTCGCCGACTCTCCACACAGGTATGCATGGAAGCAGCAAATAAAACGGATGATATGAATTGACCCATCACAGCAGTAACAAAGACTCTATCTCCCAAATCCACCTACTCTTGACAGGATACTTCTCGCTGCTGAAACTTTAACTGCTTTCTAGCACTGTTATATAGTGTGGATGGCGGGTAACGGAACTTCGGGGAAAAGTTTCGTTACCCGCCATGCATACTATATAACACTGCTAGAAAGCAACTAAAGTTTTGGCAGCGGGAAGTATCCATCCGTAAACTGCATACACTCATGTGTGATGTATCAGACTCAGGATCTTATTGCCAATATAAATTGCTTGCTAGTGTTAGATTAAAGAGTGAAAATAATTCGACTTCATAGGAAATCAGAGGAAGTTCCTACGAACTCGTTTCAGAAAAGTTGAAGTTCTCTCTTCTAATGGGTTCTGACAAAACATTGAAGTTTTATTGCGTTTTCAGATAATTTATGCTTCATCCGGTGATGAGGAGGAGCAAGTGAAGGCAGACATCGTAAAGAACCTCGGCTACGATGTAAGCTCGGAGTGTGTTTCCGGTCGTCTTGAAAGGAAATGGGGCATGACTCTGACCTCATATTACATGATGCTGCCACCTCTCCCTATTTATATCGCTATTCTTGTTCTCAGAAGGCTGATAATGTCGAAAATTAACATTCAAACGACCATGTCTGAACGTACTCGGCAACTTCACAAGCAACTCCTTCGAGTGAGTATTTTTGTTGTTTATACTCAATAGTACCTTGATCTAATATGGGGTGAGCCATAATTATGGTAACAACTTTACAGAACTCCGTAATTTCCTTGTTTAGAGGGTTTTCTAAATGAGCACCTTCCCTCATATTTATGGTGTCTCTTAGCTCACATATCTGCTGNTCTAATATGGGGTGAGCCATAATTATGGTAACAACTTTACAGAACTCCGTAATTTCCTTGTTTAGAAGGTTTTCTAAATGAGCACCTTCCCTCATATTTATGGCATCTCTTAGCTCACATATCTGCTGTGGTACTCTGAGCTCGTCAGTTTCGGGAAAAATGGTAAAGCCTCGCAATCGCCCAACAGCCGCTCCATCTTTGCGCGCAGTAGGTGAACCGTTTCCGAGATTACTCGTTTTCCGAGATCGTTTCCATATTTCTCACATGACAGTCTCTTAAATCATCATGCATGGACAGGTCAACTACAAGCCTCGAGACGGTCGTCCTGTCTTAGTCACGACTCTTTTCCAGAGGAAATTGGATAGGAATGATGACGCTACGAACCTGCAGAAACACGAGAAAAATGACGGAGTGACAAAGTTTCGACGGACGCGCGGAACGGACGCTCCCTTCAAAAGAATATTAGTTGTGTCGGTTGATAGTCTCCAACTTCTTTCTCTTTGCTTTAAGAGCACCTGGCTAGTATGAGGCGTGGCAGCCTGATGACGGCGCTTGGAAGGCATAAAATTGAGGAGCACAACGGCAACAACTTCGAAGTAAAGTGCACGATATTAGTGCAGGAGATGGAGATTGCAGCGAGAAAGGCATTAGATGGCTGGGAATCTTCCAGAGAAACTCCAATGGTAGAGATGAGTGCCAATCTATGACCAACGTTCTTTCTCCGTATATACCGCACTGCGACTTATGACCCAGTAGCACTATGACGTGAACTTCCTTATCACAAGTATAAGGGATACAGCACAATAAGTCTTGTTTGCTACAGTCGTTGACAGTCGTTTGTGGCGACAGCGGATTTTATATCCCTTGAGCGGTAGAACCCTGGTGAGTTAAGCATCGAGTTGAAGGTTTGATCACATTCGCCAAAGGGTGTAATGCGCTTTTTGAATACTGCGCAAATCATCTCGAGTTGCTCCAGGCCTCTGAAGAAGACGATAGCGTCGAAACGCTAGGCCGATGAATTACTAAATTGTTCCACCTAACAACCTCGCACGGCACAAAAATATTTTAATCATATTAGTTGTGTGTTATTGCATAGAGATGTTTACAGTAAGCCGAAAATGCCAAATGTTGACTTCCACTATCGCCGTGGATCACGACTATTTGTTTGAATTTGCAACATTTGTGCTCCACAGTGAAAGGTTCTTGAATTACAGCCATCTCTGGGAGTGACGTACAACAGATGCAATCTCTAGGCCCTTATTACGCCCGATCGGCCGATCTGACACGTCACATATGGCATACATAAGAGCCGCAGACTCATACTGAAGAGATATCTTAGTAGCGTTGTAACCGTGGTTCCGCAGCGGAACCACTGCTGTTGATCGTGGGGAGTTGGGGACAAGATCCTCCCCCCATAAGAGGGACCATTCCAAATCATAGTCTCGACAATTCATTTTTCGGGGACTTGAAAGTCCAAAAACAAAGAATAAGCCCCTTCTAAAAATCATGCCGAAACTCATCGAGGGCTAAGCATCTGATCTCAAGCTAGTTCACCTAATAAACCACAAAAATAGATGTATTCTACTCGAATTCGCCGCATAAACGCGCTTCTTTTCACGTACGAAGATTTCATTTCCCAATCAAGGCAAACATTTTTGGATTCTCTGGGATTCGAGGCTCTAATGCCGCGGGGAAACAGTACTGATACTGCTACACATTGTTCATAGCAATGAGCTTCAGCAGGTGGCCTTCAATATTAGAAAAAATCTTCAAATCACGTTCGAAAAATTACCTACTGCACGCACCTTCGTGTCCGCATCCTGCATCAGATAATCTTCGAAATCTGATTGTTCACCTACAACATTGCTCGGGCGCTGCGAGTTCACCTCGCTACCTCATCTACGACCGATAAAGCATCCATCGCAATGGAAAGCCTTCAAAAAACAGAACTAGGTCTATATCGCACTCATTGCTTCTGTGAATCACAACCTTATGAACTCTAAGGAAAATCATTAGTAATTGCTGAAAATTTTGGGAAAGTGATAGCCGTATAGCTTAATAAGCTGAAAAATCACCTGCATCACCTGTCGTCCCGTTGATCGTCGATTTCATCGAGCGGGCGCCATTAACGTCTCCATTCGTCTCTGTCACGAGTCAGAGTGGTCCAATGAATCGCTCGAGGGACACGAGAATCAACATTCCTTTCGTTCAGAGCTTTCGTGAAGAAGTCTGACCAACTCGTTGGCGGTCGTCCTGGAGTTGCTTTGACGTCCCGAGGAATCCAGTCAGTAGCCGCCCTGCTCCAACGGTCATCACTATATCGCATAACGTGTACGACCCACCTGATCTTCGACTTCTTAGCGTAACCAACGGCATCCCTGATCTTCGTTCGTCGGGGGAGCTCGGAACTCCGGATTCCCTTCTGCACTTGCATGTACAGGGGGTTTGTTCCGAGCATCGCCCTTTTCAAAGCGCGTTGAGTAACCCTGACAGCATGGTCACCCTGTTT